AAATTGAATTGTGCGTTGGGGATCGCTCGACTAAAAGCTCCTGTTTCGGGCCGGGCCCAAGTGTGCGCCACGGATGCGTTGCCAGGGTGCGAGGTCGATGTTATGCAACACCAGCCTATGGGACATGTCAAAAGAGATTCGATGCGACGCGGCTCTGCGCTTTGCTTGATTTTGCGGCTGCGACTTGTATCTCTGCACAGGCTCTTGGATGGGACACTGCGTGTACGCGCTCGCTGCTCTGCGTGGGCTGCAACGACCCTACGCGGGCAATCTCCACAGCTTTCAGCATCGCAAGCCGGCATCCTTTTTGCGAGGTTTAGACCCAAAGCGCCCAGATACCCTCGAGCAGCAGCCTCCAAGATCGTCAAGTATTGATCATGTGCACTCGCTGAACGGGTTCGAGCCACATCGAAATTGACGTTTGGACGCGTCGAATCTGTGCTTTGTCATGGCCATGAAACATGTGGTAGTGCACTGGATTCACGACATGTCATACATAGTACATGTCTTTTTTGGGCCTGGTTCACGCCTCCAAGGCTGGTCTCAATACACAGCGCAGCGCAATGCAACGCTTAGTCGCGAGTGGAGCCATGCATGATAGTACTCGCGTCCAAAAGAGATGCGATTGCTACAAGGAGATTCAAACTTTATGGTAAAAGTGGGCGAAAACAATATTGCCTTTTTCCGTATTCCAATACCCACAACAACCCATGCGGGCAGAAATGGCGGGCGAGACACCACGCATCTTCTGTGCGAGTCGCATGTATATTACCGTGCCGCTCGCTGTTTCTGCGTCGTGGGCCCTGTTCAGAATGCGCTAGTGGCTGCGCATCAAGAATTTAAAACGAAGCACCTCTGGGGACGGGGCACTTGTCTCGTGCAATGGAGCATTAGAATTTCAAGCCATCACGGCTCGTGTCTCTTGATCACAACACCGCAACCAAGACCACGGCGATTTCTTTGGCCCGCCTGCACGAAATGATGTATATGCCTCGTGCTCGGACTAACGTTCATGCTAGACTGGTTGGTTGGGCTTTGTAGGGACGAACCGACCGGTCTGTCAAGGTGTGACTTGATGGTCCCGCATCTTGACACAGTCGATCCTTGCCCGTTGGCAGCCGCCCACGCACCACTTCAGCGTCCATAGCGCCACGGCACTACACAAGCGACTCGGCAACTTCACGCTGACTCCCAGCATCCCCGCCTTGGACATCCAAAGTACCAAAAGACCTCGATATCTCCGCGCACCAGAACCTCAAGTTTACACTTTCCAGAGTTTCTGGCGGGACGATACGGCCATGAGCAAGCAGATCGCTTACCGGTAATGCTGCCAGCTCTAGTTCACTGGTAGCGCCGACGTACGATCAACGAACATCGCGTCCGCGGTCTAGCGTTGGTATGGCTCAACGGATTCCCTTGGTTTGGTTCATGTTTTTATTCTGTTCCTTGTAAAGATGACGATGTTCGCAGCAGCGTGTGTTGGTAGTGCATGCACACAGCCAAACAGGGCGGGGAATCCACGCCCTATCTATATCCACCGCAATCAATCGTGTCTCTCGACGACCTCCAAAAGCCATGTAGTTTTTCTCCAGATCTAAAGCTTGGAAAAACCTAACCGAGTGCGTTGTCATGGATCTCACCCGGGACTGAAAGCGCCTGCAGATGGGCGAGATGCAAAACTCTCTCAAAATGGTATTACGTTCACTTCAACACCCACGACGCCATCGCACTGCGAGAACACAACCTACAAGAGACGCCGCTGCTATGTAGAGCGACGCAGACCAGTGCGAACGCACAGAACATATAATAGTACTAGAGGTACTAGAGTACATCGCAAATGACATCTGTGTCGAGAATCTATTTTTAGATATTGCATTCCCGCCATATTGGTGATCGAGTGGTCGCAAGGCAGGCCGATGCATACTCGACACATCATGTCGCCCAGCTACGACGAGACCAATCCACCTTCTGGAACGTCCTCCAATGTCAATCCTTGCCTCAATATCCCTCCTTGCTTCTCGCGCTCTCTTTCCCATGCAGAAACAACGCCTTTTCATGGATGTGCGATCGGGACGTGGGGTTGCATGCAGCATTGTGATTGGTCAGAAGCATTTTTCTGTTGGCCAATCAAAACCACGGCGGTGTTCCCGAACGGCCGCGAGTTCAGGGTATTTTATTGAATGGTTTTGTTTATTTTATTATAATTGCCTGTGGAGCCGCTCATTTCCGATTTATTTCCAGCGAGCAGCATGGCCGTCGAGAACAAGCACTTTGCGAGCGAAGCTGCCTTCCAGGCCGAGATCGCCCAGGACAAGTACAAGGACCGCCTCATCGTGATCGACTTCACGGCCTCGTGGTGCCCGCCCTGCCAGTACATCAAGCCGATCTTCCACCGGTACGCCGACGAGACGCCGGACGCCACCTTCTTCCAGATCGACGTGGACGAGAGCGACGAGCTCTCCGAGGCGCTTGGCGTGAGCGCGATGCCCACCTTCCAGTTCTGGCGCAACGGCGTCAAGGTCGAAGCGCTCACGGGCGCCGATAAGGACAAGCTCAAGGCGCTCATTGCGTCGCTCAAGTAAGCGCTATGTAATCCCCGTAATTCTACTGAACACGTGACGCGCGACGACGACAACGCAGCCAAGAGGGCATGGGCAGCCTCGCCTACATGATTCACCCGATGCAGGCCATGGCGTCGTCGCGGCTCCATCGCCCACGGGCAAGGACGACGCAGCGACATGCAAGATCCGGCGACGGCAAGGAGGTGGATAGGAAGTCTGTGGCTTGGTCGCGCACGAGCGGCCAGCGTCGGCGGATGGTCTGCTGCAAGCACACAAGTACCGGTAGTAGTCAGTACCTCGCAGATGCATTCAAGGCGCTACGAGAGAAAGCCATGGAGGGTCCACGAGAACAAAACCTGCACAGGTAGTAGTGGCCTCATCTTACAATGGCATCGCAAACACGTTGGTGCCAGCGACCGTAGCTCCACCTTGTCCTCATCCACCACGCAACTAACTGCCTCTACCGCGGTCAGCTCGATGTAGCGCGGCAAGCTCGATGAACCCACCGACGGCGATGAAGGACGGACCGCGCCATGGTCGGGAACTAGGACGATAGGCATGTCCTCACTCTTCTCACCATTGACTGCTGGCTTGTTCATGCAGAGTTCTTTCAACGCACGCTTGCAACACCGAGTACCATATATTTTTCATGCAAGCACAGGCCACACGTGTTCACTTGAGCCCATTGCAGACGTGGTCGATGAGCTCGAGCGCCTCGCGTGCGTGCTTGGGCTGAAAGACGAGCGCGGGTCGGAAGCGCAGAGACCGGTCGCCGCAGCCGCCCGATTGAAGCCCCACGCCGCGAAGGCGCGTGACCGCGAGGTCGCGCTGCGCCGGCGACGCAAAGTCCACAGCCACGTACGTGCCGACACCCCGCACGTTGCTGAGGACGCTCGGGTAGAGCGCCGCCAGCTGGTGCAGGCCCTGCTGGAGGTACTCGCCTGCGATGCGCGTGTTTTCGAGCAAGTGGTCGTGCTCAACCGCGTCGACAAAGGCTTGGAGCTGGAGCATCTTGGCCGGGTCCCCCATCCACGTGTTGAAGATGCGGTACGTCTCTTGCGGGCGAAACTCGGGCTTGGCGTAGTACCCGCCGGTCTGCAGCTTCTTGCTAAAGGTCACGACGTCCGGCGGACTCGGTAGCGCCCAGTGCTCGTGCGCCCAGAACTTGCCCGTGCTGCCGCCGCCCGTTTGCACTTCGTCCACGATAAACGCGACGCTGTGCCGGGCCGCAATCTACAATCGAGGGTTCGATACGATTGATACATTGATACATTTGTTGCACCTCGCGCAGCTGGCGGAAAAAGGCCGGACTCGCATGGTTGTCGCCGCCTTCGGCTTGGATCGGCTCGACGATCATACCGGCCACCTCGGACGACGCGGTCTTCTGGACGTTGTGCTGCGTCAAGAGCGCGTCAACGTACTCGAGGCAGCGCGCCTCCTCTTGGGCGTTGGCGGCCGCGTGGTCGGCCAGCGGGTACGTGAGCTTTGGGAACGGCGCGACGGGCCAGTCCAAGGCGGGAATGTCCACTTTGTGAATGGCCTTGGAGTGCGTGGCCGAGAGACAGCCAAGGAGGCGGCCGTGGAAGCCACCCGCAAACGACAAGATCGAGAGCGCTGGCGAGCCCGGCGCGGCGTTGCGCATGCTGGACTGCAGGTCGAGCTCGGTTGGCGGACCGCCTATGTCGCATGCGATGAGCTCCTTTGCATGAAGAGAAGATTCGATGTCGCACCACGCGCCTTGGTTTGGTACCAGATGAAGACAGCCTTGAACGCGTTCTCGTTGGCGCAAGATCCGCACATGAGCGTCGCAATCTCCGAAAGCCCGGGCGGCTGCATCTTGGCGAGCGTCGTCTCGAGCATGTTGGTCCAGTCGGCGGGCGGAAGGATTCCGAGGCACGGCCGCTGGCTCAGAATGGCGAGGTTCTTGGGGTCCTGGATCGCTGCGTGGATGCGCGGGTGGTTGTACCCGATCGGAAGCGACGCAATCTGCGCATAGACATCGAGGTACCGGTTGCCGTCGACGTCGACGATGTAGTTGCCCTTGCTCGCGGTGTAGTCGACGAAGAACTGGACGGCCGCGGCTTGCTGCATCGACTGCATCTCGCGGCCCAGCGCGATCGAGCGCGGGCCTGGGTACGACGTCGCCATGTGCGCCGAGGCAGCTTCGCCAGGAAAGGCCGGCGTCGGCGTCGACGGCAGCGCGGGCAGCGCCACCGAGGCAAACCCACGCATCGTTCGCATCGTTCGCCGCGCATTCATCATCGGATATGGATGTTGGTGTCAAAGGAAAACTGACCACGGAAATCCAAGCCAAAGATCCAAGTTGAAGTTGGTGCCAGCTGGTCGATTGCGCACTCGGATCTCAACCTACTTGAACTTGCCGGCAAAGAAGAGTGGGCATGTTCATAATAGCATGCAGCGGCAGGGATGAGCTGGTGGCAGGAAGATGTTCAATCTGATCGCGAAAGACGGCAGCCATCGGTCCAACCAACGCGACTCGCGCAGAGTCTGTACGCACCGACACCCGACAGCACTAGATCACTGGCACTAGATCGGCATCATGCGGTGATAAACTAAGTTTATAATGGCTAGTGGCTCTGGAATGGCGTGAACCCTCCCGCGTCTCCATACGTTAAGAGCCAGGCACGTTCGTGATACTACCGGTAACGTTAGCGGGGCAACGGAACTTGAAAGCAAGAGCCGAGCCTTCTGTGAGGCTCGTCGATACTCTTGCACGCGGGGGGTGCTGGCGGGTGCTAAGCTCAAGAGACGATGCGTCAACTAATCGGTTTCCTACAGTGTTTCCTACCAATGGCGACCGTCGACAGCCGTGGCACCAACTGGAAGGAGGTCCGATCTTTGTTTTATTAGTGGCAAAGACCACGAATAATCTGATTCGTGCCACCATTAGCTGCCACCACTACAAAACAATGGCGTTCGTTGCTGCGTCGCGGTGCATCAAGCCTCTCGTTGCCAGCAGAGCATGGCGCGCGTTGCGTCCGAGTGTCCATGCCAGCGCTCTGCACATGAAGCCGCGCATGTTGCAGCTGCCGATGGCCTTTAGCACGAAGCGCGAGATCCGCCGCCTCCACGTCGAGGACCGCTTCAGCGAGGTCGTCGTGCACAACGGGACGGTGTACCTCTCGGGTCAGCTGGCCGACGACCTCGACGGCGGCATTGCCGCACAAACCGCCGAGACGCTCG